GACATGGCTTCATGGGCTTAGATATATGATGTCTTGGGCATTTTCTTTGTTTTTAACACATGGCCCGTGACACTAGGACATTGTGTTTGCATTGCCGCATTCTATATATCTTGCCTACTAAAATTGTTCGCTCGGGTAGGTGCTTGTGGTTCTGGAGTTAAGTGGCAGATTCAGCAATAAAACACAATGATATATTACACAAAAGGATATATGAAGTTCTTATAATAACAACTGAACATTAATATATTTAACACTCAATTGTTGAACTTCCAAGAGTGTTCTCAAGTATTGAAACCTGATCTTTGACAATGCTTTGGTAAAGATGTCAGCAACTTGCTCATCTGTTCAGCAATAGACTAGGTTAACTTCTTTTTCTTCAACATCATTCAATATGTTAGATTTAGAAAATGTAACTGAAAAAGATCTAGTTATATATATACACCTTAAAAGTTTTTGTTTGTTGGGTGCATTCTCTTTCATTTATCTTCCTTCCCTCCCCTCGATCCCCTCTACCCTTCTAATGCAAATAGTAGTTAAACTTGAAAACAGATCCAAAACAAAACCAAATGTTAGTTCCCGCATGTGACGTTGAAAGTCCTTTTATTATTTCAAAGTTGATCTTATACTATCTGATTTTTACATTTTAAAGTAACCTAATTATTGAAGAAAGTTAGGGTTGCCCCAACCTCTTATAAGCCCATGCAAGGTCCCTCCTCTTATTAATACGAGACTCATTCTCAACACGCCCCCTCACGTGTAGCGAATTCTTGAGCCTAACACGTGAACAACACAACGGGGTGACATGGAACACATATGGCCGTTTGGCTTCACAGGTGGGACAACTTGCTCTGATACCTTGAAGAAAATTGGAGTTCCACCATAAAACCAATTGGCAATATGGGAAGTAGCTCAACCTCTTATAAGCTTATGCAAAGTCCTTCATTCCATCAATGTGGGACTCTTTCTCAACAATTATCATCTCAACAAAATGTTAAATAACCAGTGGACCTTCTTTCTATAATATTTCAAGCTCAATATGCATCAGTGTGTCCCTCCACAAGAAAATGATTTATGTTTCATGAACATAAACCCTTGCATTTGGAGTTGCCTTCAAGTGTCGAAGAATTCAATTTAGGACATTTATCTGATCTTCACTAGGAGCATGCTCAACATGCTCACCACACCTCACATCTCATATGCAATGTCAGGTCATGTGTGTGACAAAGTAAATTAACTACCCTCCAACTTATAGTACCGCTCTTTGTTTGTTGGAATGTGATTGGGATATTCTCCTATATGTTTATTAATCTACAGAATTGGAACATTTGCAGGCTAGCAATTGAGGATTTTAGTTTTTTATTTTACAAGTCTACTAGATATTTCCTTTGTAATAGAAATAGACCCTGCTTAAATCGAGCCACACCTTCCTCATACATATCTTAAATTTAATGAAAATTTTAGTTTCTGATTATAATAAAAGTTGGAAATGCTTGTGTTTTGTCATGAAAAAAAAAATAGAAAACTTCATTTTAATCCTTGGCAAAGATGACTTTTTGATTAAAACCATGAGTAATATCAAAATCTAATTTTAGTCCCTTGATGCATTAATAACCTCATTTATTAATTATATTTTGATTTTTTTAATTATTTATCTTTTTCTTTCTAATTTTTAATGTATTAATTTTATTTCATTATAATTTTTATTTTCATTTCATTCATCGTAATATATTTTGTTGTGAACATTTGGATAAACTAATTTTTGTTATACAATATATTTCGATGTACTTTATCTTCTTCATTTTTAGGTATATTAAATTCATTATAATACATTTCGGTACATATATTTAGGTACACACATTTCGGTACATACATTTCGATACAAACATTTAGGTACATTAATTCAATATAATACATTTTCAGTACTAACATTTCGGTGCATACATTTCGGTGCATACATTTCGGTACACACATTTAGGTACATTAATTTAATATTAATACATTTCGGTGCATATATTTAGGTACATACATTTCAATACTAACATTTAGGTACATTAATTGAGTCTTTCAAGTTTGAAGAATGTTAAATAAAATTAATAAATTAAAAAACTTTTTTTTGGTCAAACAATAAATTAAAATTTTTGTATTAATAAATTTAAATATTTAATGGGAGACATTAAATAAAATGCACATTAATTATTTTGAATTAAGGACACATTAGGGACTAAAATCAATATTTAATCTAACACCAGGTTTTTTTTTAATTTTAATCTTCTTCCCACTTACTATTAACGTATCTTCACTTTACATACATCATAATTTGACACCGTTTATTCTCTTTATTATCATATAAAAACCATACATACAAAACATCATTCAATTCGAAGATCTTTTAACTATTCATATGCGTAATAAATAATAAACAGTTCATTATAAGGATGCTACTTGTTACCAAAATCGTTAATTGGTTTGCCATGAATGAATGATTAAAAGATCTCTGAATTGAAGGACTTTTTGCAAGAGAATAAACGGTTCTGATTATGATGTTCGTATGGTGAAGATGTGAAGATACATTAATCGTAAATGAGGGACAAGTAAGTTCTTCCATGGGGTGAACACAAATAGTATCCAAAATGTTGGAACTTTGTTGAGTATTTCAAAATACAAATTCATTGCAACCGTTTCTTTTCCTCCCATTCACTATGCTATATTATTGTGTTTTATTTGATATTATTGCATGGTCGTTTCATCTCTTATAGTCTTATTTCTAGCTAGCCAACTCATTTCATTCATATTATAATTGAGAGTTAAATGAGGGAGTTATACATTGTGAAGTGCCATCTTGATTAACCCATTAATTGGGTAATTATATAGTCTAACGTTTTAGACCATTTTGTTTTCAAATAAATATATTTTCATCTATTCCTTTCCAAAATAAAAAAGAAAAAGCCGTTGAAGCCATCCTTTTATCCATTATTGAATCATCACTCTTCAAAGTGATATATCCTTCAAGTTTTACATACCAAAGGAAAGAATCGAGTTGTTTACTCAATTCAAGTATTGCGTGTGTATGCTTACGAGGATCATAGGTTGTTGTATGATGGAGGGTATGGCGCTATAACCTGTTACACCAAGATATTGTCTTATATGGGCAAAATCAATTGTTAGGGACAGTGAATTTACACACCTCAACCTAAAATCTTGTTCTAATCAGTGATCGATGAAGAGAATTATCTACCTACAAGAGATAAGTATTTTATCATATTTGGTTTATTATATTTAATAAATTGTGGTGATAAAATTGTGATATACTAATATTAATTTTATGTGATTTGTTGTAGGAGAAATAGCATCCGAATCGCCAATATTTCCATCACAAAAAACTTTATGGCAACACTTATGTCCCCCACTTGAGAGATAGCTCATTTTCCCACTTACAAATAAAGTATCTTTCATTGTAGAAATTTCATAATCAGAATTGTTTAATTTCTTAATCTTCATTTGAAGATTTTTTTTGGAGATGTTTTGTAAATGAAGATTAAGAAATTGAAATATTCCAATTATAATATTTATCTATTTGTAAATGGGAAAATAATCTCACCCCAAAAAAGAGAACACAAGTATTATTCTTCACAACACAAACCCAGAAAAATATGGGGATGGGTGATGAGTCATTGAGTGGTGACAAAAAAGAAATGAAAAAGAAAACCAAATAAGGAGACGATGAAACCAATAAAATGCCGATCTCGATCACTTGAAAACTTAGAAGTCATATGAGTCGTTTGCAAGTAAACATCTCTAGCTAGCCTTCAAGAGTCTACCATTAGCTAGTCTACAAGAGTTTACCATTAGTTAGCCGACAAGTAAACATCTCTAGTTGTTGTTACTTGTTGGCATTTCGTACCAGCCAATTGTTCTTAGTTGAAGTCCAGCTATTAAGGCCAAATTTGCCTTGTCCCACATGATAAGGCATCACCAATTAGTAATTAACACTCATGTTCTTGTCAAGATAAATACTTAAAGTGACATTAAGAAAATATAGAAATTGCATTCATAATTCAATAATACAAAGGACCAACACAAGGATTACATCAATAGCATCCAAAAATCTAGACTTTCTCCGGCCACAGTAACAAAGGGCTAAAGCCCCATCGAAACCCGAAATTACGTACTCCTTTGATGGACAACAATTACTCGTCCCTTCTCCTTCTTACGTCCAAGATGCCACCATTGGATAAACAAAAGAATCTGCAGAAGCAGACTTGTTAATCGCAAAACCATTCCTTGGATTGCAGCAAGGCAGAGCACTTATCCATAGAGTCAAGTCGATTATTGTACATCCGTATGATTGAAACAGTCGAGCTAGGTTTAATTCTGTGTTTATCACGCTAACTTCTATCGGCGTAAGTATTTTCATTCGATCAGTCATCAATCGATTATCACCAGAAATATTCTAGTCATGCTCAGCCTGCATTCGAGTCTTACAACTTGTTTTCTGTCCATTTATAGTACTTATTTTTGGTTGCACAAACAAAATGTAGATTATGCCAACAAAAATTTAATTTTGAGATATGATACTAGTAAAAAAAACACTTTGCGCGATGCATGTCCTTCGTCGCACAAAGTCAAAAAACGTCGTGCAAAACTTTGCTCAACGAACATTCGTCGCGCGCAAACCGTCGCGGCAAGGCAGTGACAGAAGGCTTTGCGCGACGAAGGAATGCGCGACCTAGGATTGAGTCGCGCAAAGTGACTTTGCGCGACCTAGGATTGAGTCGCGCAAAGTGGCATAGGTGTCTTTGCGCGACGTAGTCATGCGTTGTGCAAAGTGACTTCGTGGCTTTGCACGACGTAGGACATGCGTCGCGCAAAGTGGCTTATTATCTTTGCACAACGTAGGCATGCGTCGCGCAAATCCCTTTTTTTGGTTTTCGTCAAAAATATTTTTTTTCAATTTTTAATAAATATTGTAATTAAATTCTAAACAATAATGAATTAACCAAGCAAAAGTATTTAATTATAAAATATATGAAAATGTACGTACAAGATGTTCGAACAAAAAAGAAAAAACTACAAGTAGTCTTCTAGGTTTGATATGTCAAGCTACTGGGTATCGACAAGGCGAGGTGGCTCTGAGGTCGAAAGTGGAGCAAAATTAAGTGCTAGTAGTGAGATTTGGAGGCTAGACATGGCTCGTACAAAGTCTCTCACCGTCCCGGTATAAGTCCTCATCTCCTCGCCCTGGACCTACATAGTCAAATGAATACAACAGTCTAGGAGATGAAGAATCATCAAATTCAGAACATAGTCAACTAAATTTGGTCCAGTCGCAGACGTGATAGAAACAAGAGGCGCATCAACATCTTTTATGACTTCACTTTGTAATATCGTCGCTTGAGGGACCCTGTAAAATAAGAGAGGCTTTCAAGAATTTAAAAAGCAACGTGATCGAAAATCGCCAACCTTAACAGTATTCAAATGAATCTATACCTGGTGGAGTTCATGTAGGACTTGACCACATTTAGCTCTTCTGTGATTAAATTCACCCCAGGAAATGGGAGAACTTGAGAAAAAGTTTCGTTCATAAAATTAACAAAAATTATCCCAACTGCCCCAGATCTGTAAGCCCCAGGAAATCTAGTGTTCTTCTCACATACAACTATCTTTCCCTTAACTAAATCAGGGTCCAGGCAACCTTCCCAACATATACTAAAATGCAACAAGAAGTCAGTACTATAGTTTCATTTTTATTCCTTTATATTGTATGCAGTAAAAGTGAAACAGGGACAAGAATTACCAAGCTAGCATTTGAGAGCATTTTGTTCTTGAAGCATCTTTTCCATATATGAGGAAAATTTGTTCCATTTAATGTGAACGTGTTCGTAGAGTGCCCTTGTTTGTGATAAGAACATTAAAAAGTATTGAAATGAAAACAATCTGAGCCACAGTATATACAAGTATTCATAAAATGTTTTTATTTTTGTTGAAAAAGGAAGTGGATGAGACATACGACTAGTTTCTTTCCGTTTGCAAGAACAGTGCTGTCAATAATCCGGCGATCTGTGGTACTAGCTGCAACTGTGAATATCCATGGTGCTACACTTGACACATGACCAACCTTATAACTATTAAATATGGTTTCGGCAGACTGTGAAGTTAGTATCCCTTTCTTCATGGCATGAAAGGCACCAATTGCAATCGGGTCAATATAAAAATGAGGCTCAGAACGAAAAAATCCATTAAGTGAAATTGAAATGATGTCAACTTCATCAGCAATTGCATCGTCAAAAGCAGCCATGATACTGTCTGAACTACACCCGAAATCAAGATCACAGACTTTATATGCTGTGATTCTCGCAGCAGGTACACCTCCTCTTGCAGTACCATTTGCTAGTCCGTAAAAGCTTACATCCTTTACAAGACTCCTGGCTACAATTGATGCACAGTGAGTTCCATGACCCCAGAAATCCCTTGCAGAGTCTGTTAAGTAATATCGAGCACCAACGATCTTTCTGCAAAACAAACATTTCTTGACGTTGACTAAATGTTGCAAAGTACAAAGGCAAAACCATTACAAAAGTAGTTTAATTATGAAATTTTGAAATGAATAAACTCAACCAAAAGTTTTAATTCGTATAATTGATAACTTTATGCATGTAAATATTGAGAGACATACTTGTTGCAGGTGAAATTTTTGCCGCCTTCACAAACACCTTTCCACTTCTTAGGAGGAGGACCAAAACCTTCATCTTTAAAGCTCTCAGCTTCAGGCCAAATTCCAGTGTCCATCACACCAACAATGAAATCACTTTCAGTTGTGGCATTTCGACTGACTTTCACACCAACAATGATATCACTCTCAGTTGCAGCATATAAAGCAGATTCAGAACTAACAATCATCCAATTCAATCAATTATCCGCTACACGACCTACATAGTCATATGAATACAATAGCCTAGGAGATGAAGAATCAAGAGCATTCACTAACATGGAAAAACAATATAGAACTTGCTGAGGTCCTGAAATTCCCAATAGCATTATAACTACCTTTACTATTTGACCAACAGTAGGTAACAACCAGTCTAAAATGCCTTTGGTTATGGAAATCTCAACTCGGTTCAAAAGTCATAGGATGTAGTTAACTATGATTTACGGCTACTAAGTCAAGTTCATTAGTTTTGACTTTAAATATTTCTTAGATTCATACAACTCATAACTCAAATGCAGAAAAATGAAACGATGGTTGGACGGTATCAACCGTATCATTTCATTTAATATAGCAGCAAAGAAAAGAAAAGGCTCGGATGGAAATTGTGGAATTGAAATCATGATGTTGACAAATGAAATTGGGCCAAACGACAAATGGAAAAATGATCGCATGAAATTTCAACCAATCATCTATAAACATACATAACACCAGCCATCAATCATCAATCTACAAATGCAATTCAAATTTTAGGAAAACCCTAAATGGTGGCAACAGAACAATCATCAATCTACAAATTCTAATTTAAAAACCCTAAAATCCCTACACCAGAAATTCACATTAATAACAAAACCTTAAATCAAAATTACCTAAATTTTAGAGGGATGACTGCGGGGGTGTTGTCGAAGAGGAGAGAATCGACGGCGGGGGTGATGGGGTGATGGCCTGGGTTCTCTGGGATGTCGTCGAGAAGGATGATGGGTGGTGCCGTTGTGTTGGTCGACGGCGGTGATGGCTGGTGAGCACTACGAGGAGGAGGACGATTGAGAGTTGGAGAGTCGAGGGAAGGGAGTCGAGGGACTCTGAGAGTGATTCTGGTACTCGGGTGGAATTGGCTGAGGAGGATAGTCGGCTGGAGTTAGGAGAAAGATTTGGGTTTGGTTTGGGAAGAGAGACCAAGTGAGAGAGATGAGAGAGCGGAAGGCTTTTGGTTTGGAAAATTTGGGAAATTTTAAAAAAAAAAACGCCTATTTTTTACAATTGCCCCGCCAAAATAATGACAAATGGCGCGACGCAGGTATACATTTCGACGTCGCGCAAGGTTTTTTTATTTTTTTTTATTTTTTAAATATAAATTTTACTGAAAATTTACTTAATAAATATATATACCATTGAACTTGATGGAATACGCATTGTACGAAATTAATTTCAACGATCCAACCGTCAAAATTGTTTGTATATATTCCGAGATCGCATACGCCAAAAATTGGAAAAAATAAACATCCAAATATCAAGTAACGGGACAAAACCTTTCGACGGTTATAAACGAAAAATCACGATTTAACGGTTATTTTAACTCCAATTTGATGACTTTTTACAACTACACTCCTTGAGCCTATATGAATACAACGAACCAATTCGATTGTCAATTTAAAATATTTACACAAGCGGATACCACAAAATGTTATGTTAAACTTAATGATAGTATAAATAAACTCCAAGTGTTAGGAAATCTATCGTTCTGATGAAATACGCATTCTACGAAACTAATTTCAACGATCCAACCATCAAACTTGTTTGTATATATTTCGAGATCGCATACGCCAAAAATTGGAAAAAAAATAAACATCCAGAGATCAAGTAACAAGACAAAACATTTCGACGGTTATAAACGAAAAATCACGATTTAACGGTTATTGTAACTCCGATTTTGATGATTTTTTACAGCTACACTCCTTGAGCCTATATGAATACAATGAACCGATTCGATCCTCAATTTAAAATATTTACACAAGTGGATACCACAAAGTGTTATGTTAAACTTAATGATAGTATAAATAAACTCTAAGTGTTAGGGAATCTATCGTTTTGATGGGATACGCATTGTACGAAACTAATTTCAACGATCCAACCGTCAAACTTGTTTGTATATATTCCGAGATCGCATACGCCAAAAATTGAGAAAAACAAACATTCAGATATCAAGTAACGGGACAAACCTTTTCGACGGTTATAAACAAAAACGCACAATTTAACGGTAGTTTTAACTCCGATTTTTATTTTTTTTTATAGCTACACTCCTTGACCCTATATGAATACAATGAACTAATTCGATCTTCAATTTTAAAATATTTACACTAGTGGATACCACAAAATCTTATGTTATACTTGATGAAAGTATAAATAAACTCTAAGTGATAGTGAATGTAATGTTTTGATGGGAAATGTATTGTATGAAACTAGTTTCAACAATCCAACCGTCAAACGTATTTGTACATGCTTCGAGATTGCGTACGCCAAAAATCGCAAAAAACAAACATTCAGAGATCAAGTAATGGGACAAAACTTTTAGACGGTTATAAATGAAAAAGCACGATTTAACGGTAGTTTTAACTCCGATTTTGATGATTTTTTAGAGCTACACTCCTTAATCCTATATGAATACAATGAAGTAATTTGATTGTCAATTTAAAAAATTTACACAAGTGGATACCACAAAAGAAAAAGGCATTACAAGAACCCCAAAAGAAAAGCAAAAGAAAAAAAAAAACCACTTTGCGCGACATAGGTCCACCTGCGTTGCGCAAAGCTGTTTTGCGCGACGCATGTGTACATACGTCGGGCAAAGTGGTTTTTTTTTTTTTTTCCTTTTGCTTTTCTTTTGCCTTTTTGCTTATGAGTACAAAATAAATAAATTAAAATGTACTTACTAAATATATATACCATTGAACTTGATGGGAAACGCATTATACGAAATTAGTTTCAACGAGCCAACCGTTAAACTTGCTCGTATATGCTTCGAGATCACGTACGCCAAAAAGCACGATTCAAACTTGTTCGTATATATATACATTTAGAGATCAAGTAACGGGACAAACCTTTTCGACGGTTATAAACGAAAAAGCACGATTTAACGGTAGTTTTAACTCCGATTTTGATGATTTTTTAGAGCTACACTCCTTAACCCTATATGAATACAATGAACTAATTCGATCTTCAATTTAAAATATTTACACTAGTGGATACCACAAAATCTTATGTTATACTTGATGAAAGTATAAATAAACTCCAAGTGATAGTGAATGTATTGTTTTGATGGGAAATGCATTGTACGAAACTAGTTTCAACGATCCAACCGTCAAACTTATTCGTACATGCTTCGAGATAGTGTACACCAAAAATCACAAAAAACAAACATTCAGATATCAAGTAACGGGACAAAACTTTTCGACGGTTATAAATGAAAAAACACGATTTAACGGTAGTTTTAACTCCGATTTTGATGATTTTTTAGAGCTACACTCCTTAACCCTATATGAATACAATGAACTAATTTGATCGTCAATTTAAAATATTTACATAAGTGGATATCACAAAAGAAAAAGGCAATGCAAGAACCCCAAAAGAAAAGCAAAAGGAAAAAAAAAAAAAAAAACAATTTGCGCGACGGCACTTTGCACGACGAAGGAATGCGTCACGCAAAGCGGATTTGCGCGACGTAAGTGCACCTTCGTCGCGCAAAACTTCTTTGCGCGACGCATTCCTTCGTCGTGCAAAGTGCCGTCGCGCAAAGCTACTTCGCGCGACGTTTGGTATTTAGCGTCATGCAAACATACTTTGCGCGACGAAATTTCCTACGTCGCGCAAATTTCTGTCGCGCAAACATGTTTTTGTACTATACAAACGTCCCTACTTTGCCTCTAATATTTTACAAACACTAAGCCATTTATAAAGTTTGGAAAAAAAAAAGTTACATTATACATGTTCAATTTCCATACACTAGCCTTCATGCATGTGCTTACGGGCATGCATAATGCATTTTTTGAATCACGGTATGTTACGCGTGACTTACATGTTTTAAATATATTTATATGCGTAAATTGACAAAAGGAAAGTCAAATATTTGAAGTAAATGAATAATCTTAGATCATGCTAGAAGAAACCATATCATAAATCAATTAACGCAACTGAATCTACATAATAAAATTGGTTTCTATTGAATTTATAGTAAGAATAGAGAAAATAATATTTAATAAACAATTAATTGAATCACATTATTACTAGCTTATTGTGAGGTTAAGCCCACACCCTCCCCCTTAGTGTAGATAATATCGTTTGTTAAAAAAAAAAAACAAATAAACAATTAATTGAATCTTAGCCCATTGTGAGGCTAAGTTCACCCCCTCTCCCTTAGTGTAGATAATATCATTTATTCAAAAATAAAAATAATCTTCTGACAACTAATTTAATCACATTATTATTCGCGTGCGAAAAACCTTTTTTATAACCGGCATTACAACCTCTTAAGATGAAAATTGCATAAGAAATTTTATTTGAACTCATATAACTTATTTTTACACCAAACTTAAATTTTAAATGTTAATTGTATACGGTCGGCTGGAGCAATTGAGGGTTTTTAACTATTATTTATGAAACCAGAATTTATAATTATAAGTCGGCAACCTATTGCACGTCTTTTAAATCAAAGATTAAGGATACAATTATATACTTGTATTATCTTTAAGATATATCGTAGCAACCATCTATCCTACTTTTGTTGAGATGCCTAGAATGATATAAGGTAACTCTTGCAACCGAATTGTTACTGAGTCATTGATCTTTGGTTTGGTTAGTTAATTCACAATTCAAACGACAAAGGGAAACACATATTTGATTGGTTTATATTTCCATGTCAATATATATAAACGTTTATGCTCATTTCTTCATTTTATATTATAGGAGTCAACTAATAATTAATTCTCAAGAAATTTCTGAAACATATCCATACAAATTTATAATAGAAATTCACATATATCTATCAAAATTCATATAAGATGGTAAAATTTATTAAAATTCTTTGAACTTTGTCACTTAAAAATATTTATTAAAATTCTCTAAAATACAAATTAATATCGTTAAATTTTATACTAATTAATGAAGATTTTTACATTGAATGCCAACTGTTTCACCAATTGTATTTTTACAACATATTCACGCAAGTTTCAAGAAAACAATGAGCAGATGCAGCCCATTTGCCATGAGAAATTGGACTTGGATTGTCTGCCCTCTCATTTCGGTGTCATTCCCGTGCCCTCCTGTTTTGTGTGGTCACGGTTAAGCCACGTTAATATTTTATATTATTTTTTTATAAAAGTAATAAAACAAAAAGAAATAGTAATATAAAATGTTGACGTGGCTTAACCGTGACCACAAAAACAGAAGGGCACGGGAAGAGTATCAAAATTGGAGGGCAGACAATCTAAGTCCTGAGAAATTTTACCATGTACCAGGCACATATGCTGACCTGGAGTTCCACAAATAAACATTTGACACCTCTATAATTTATTCTTTTAAATTAAAAAAATTCCAATTGTTTCACAATTACTAAGATATCAGAGGACCACGAGCCTGACGACGCCGAACCACCCACACCCACCTGTCTCATCGGCCGGGGATTTTTCAGGCGTCATTATCCCTTTTCTCTATTCGACTCTCTTTCTTTCCTTTCCTCTCTTTCTCTCTCACTCTTACTTACACATGGAACCCAGAGATTCTTACTTCCGCATGGAACCCAGAGATTGTCGACGGTGATTCCAATTCAGATCGGCTGTAGTCAATCTCGTTCTTTCAGCCGGAGATTGCCGGCATCACGTTTGTTCTTATTCTGTAGCAAGAAAGAAGAAATAATAAGGGGAAGAGAGAAACAGAAAGAAAGAGAAAGGGAGAGAGAGGTGACGGGAAGGGCAAGGTGGGCGGGGAATGGGGATGGGAAAGGGTGCTGACAGCTTGCCTTTTTTTTTATAATTATTTTAATTATTTTCTGAAATGAATACAAGGCATCACGTTTGTTCTTATTTTAGAGCAAGAAAGAAGAAATAATAAGGGGAAGAGAGAAACAAAAAGAGAGAGAGAGAGAGGTGGGACAACTAGGGATGGACAACGGTTATGGTGGATGAGTAATCGTGGTTATTTACCTATAACTGTTTATGTTTATACCCGTATAACTGTTTACCTGTTTGGTAATTTTCTAAACGGTTATACCTATACTCATAACCATTTATAAACGGTTAATCATACCCATAACCGCATCCCATTTAACCGTAACCATTTAATACCTATTTACCCATTTATCTTTTTTAACCCGTTTATCTTTTTTCTTAGAGAAAAAATAAAACAAAAAAATCAACCAAATCAGTAATATTTTCATAAAGTTTAAACTGGTTATAATAACAAAAAGTTCCCCACATAACACATTCATCCAAAACAAACTAAGGAGTTACGTACACCAAAGTTTATATTCATGATACCGATTATGAGAAGGGTACCATGAATATATTACCGATTTAGTTGAAATGTTGTAATATATTCATGATACCGATTTAGAATTTTGATTGGCATCTTGAGGCTATCATTCATTTTCTAACCTTAAAAGTAAATTCCTGGAACAGATATTTGTGCACATTCGAGTAGCATCTGTCAACTATTTGGATGAATGTCTTATATGGCTTGTTGTAATATTGAAATGTTTCTATATGCAATATATCTTCAAAATTCTAAACAACTAATTCGGTAAAATATTCATGATACCTTTCTCATTTCTCAGGAAGTTACGTACACCGTTTATGTTAACATTATGTTATTATAAATCAGTAATGAAAATTCTAAACAAAACAAACTAGGGAGTTACGTACACCAAAGTTTAAACTGGGTAAAAAAAATGTTTCCCACACGAAAGCCTTCCCCAGTTCCTATTCCTCACCAAATTTTACATATATAAAATAAATGGTTAAACGGTTACCCATTTATTCCAGGAAGTTACGTACACCGTTTATGTTAACTTTATGTTATAAATCAGTAATTCAAAATTCTAAACAAAACAAACAAGGGAGTTATGTACACTAAAGTTTAAACCAGGTAGGAAAAATATTCCCCACACGAAAAGCCTTCCCGAGTTTCCCTTCCTTACCAAATTTTATATATATTAAATAAATAGGTAAACGGTTACTCGTTTATAACCGCAGTTAATACCTATAACCACCAAGTTAAATTTTACGAGTAAACGGTTATACCCATAATCATTTATTTATCTAAACGGTTACCCATAATCATAACCGTGAAGTTTAAATGAGCACAGTATTTTGCCCAACAGACGAAACAAACCTTCTCCAACTGACACGCGTTTTTGATATATATGCACACGCGTTTTATATATATGTTGATGCAGAAGTTGAGAGCCACCACCAAGCTTTTGCCATATCTTTCTTCTGCAGACAAAGGTTCTTCTGCGTCTTCTGTTGTTGCTCATCATCATTCTTTAACAAAAAGGCCTTGCTTTGGAACTCTTTCACCTTCTTCACCATCCTTGCCTGGCTTTCACAAAGGTGGGCTTCAAGTTTATTTTTATATTCTTTTATTCGAGCAATATTAAATTATGTAAACATCTGTAGTTTAATATTTTAGTAGATAGGGTATAGGAATTCTACTCATACATCTGAGTTTGAAACTGCTCTTACCATTATTGTAATAGTTTTGGATTTTCCCTCCCTTACGAATAGTAAGGGTTTTATGATTTTATCCCAAATGATCCATGAAATTGACCAAGTCTATCTGGTCTATGAAATTGAAAATCGATCAATGTAACTTGAAAATGAATGTCACAATTCAACGTGGTACTTTCATTAAAAGTTTTGCGGAATTGTTACGAAATAACTGCATTGATTTGTGACACCAATTTTCAGCTTACATTGTTCGATTCTTAATTTCAAAAACTATTTATGATCAAAATTCTAATAATAATTAAAATAAAAAAATCATGTTAACATAATCACATGGAACTGTCAAATAATGGAGTGACTACTTATTCTCATCCTCTGTTTTCTAGCTATTGAAACGCATGAGTTTTATTTCTGAGGAATTGTAGTGGTTGGTCGAAATAAATGTTGATGTGTGACTTTCGCTTATTCCTTCAGATTCAAAAGATAAAGTTCCACACTTGATTCAAGCCATGTCGGTTTCAACGAATTCATCCTCCGTTGCACAACAAGCTGTGCCTGAAAATGAAGTCGAACAGGTTGAGTTGCTTGCTGCAGTTGATAATTCATATGGAGGAGTTGTTGTGGACGTGACCGAACCTATGGATTCTGCGGTTTTCACTTCCTTGCTTCAGGCTTCCATATCGCAATGGAGGCAAAAGGTTTGTATTCGTTGCTTTTCTTTTCTTCAGGGCCGATCCTGAGATTTTTTAGGCCGGGCAATGCAAAAAAAAATGGCTATTTATTTTCACACATAAGACTTCGATAAAATTATACTTAACAAAACACTTCAAATTCAAAATAATTTAGAAACACAGAAAATCTAATTTATTTTGTATCAAGAGAAGGAAATAAAAAAAACTCAAGGCTTACAAGTAAATAGATGATGAATTTTGTTCTTCTTTTATCTGAACTTTTAAACTCTTTGATGACATGTCATGTGATTTGCAGATTTGGTCTACACGTTACTCTTTGTTGAAGGTTAGACTTGAATTGGAATGAATGTTTAAAAATTGCAACCCACATAGCTACTAGCTAGTATTTAAAAAGAAATTAACAACCAAACAGAAATTTGTGAAAATTGAAAAGGAATAAACACGCACGTAGCATTTTGAACTCAGGACATTTTGTTAATTTTAAACAAACAAGTAATATTACTTCTAATTAAACTTCTTGATCATTTAGCCAAATTTTATAAATTTATACTTACGAAAAGAAATTTGTAAAAATTGGAAATTAAATAAGCAAACATGGTGTGTTGAACCTAAACTTCCTCATTAATTTCAAACAAAAACACCAGTTTTAGTTAAATTTCCTTGTTATTAACTAAATTTTATAAATTTATACTTTTATGAAAACATAAATAAGGCCCTGCCCTTCTTCGATCTCGTTAAATGTCTTGTGTTTCACTTGATGCTGACGATGAAGGTTGTTTACTTTGTGTTTTGTAGGGGAAGAAGGGCGTTTGGATCAAATTGCCTATCGAACGGTCAAATCTTGTTGATGCCGCAGTTAAGGTACAAGAGATTCTACTGGCCTAGCTCTTCTGAATTACCTCAATGATATTCTTGATTAATTATTTGAAGCTGTTAGGAATGTAACTTGTCTAGTAGTCTTATTGTTTTTATCAACTATCCTTTTCTCTTTTCAATGTTCTTGACATAAGGTATTAGTATAATCGCACAATCCGGCACCAACACTCGGGCTGGCTGCATACTTAAGTATAGCTGTTTTGTTCTCTGATGTCCCACGACACTCGGGCTTCTTTTGTTACTTGTGCAGGAAGGATTTAGGTACCACCATGCTGAATCAGATTACTTAATGCTTGTACGTTGGATTCCCGAAACTGATGATAGACTCCCTGCAAATGCTTCGCACAGAGTGGGCATTGGCGCTTTTGTCATGAACGGTAACAGAGAGGTATACCTTCTGCACATGAATCTAGGCTCCCTTTTGTTCTGAACATATATGACATGTAAAAATGAAAGTTCAAATTTTTAACATTTTGCTTTCGTGGTTCTGTTTAACGAGAAAATAGTGAAAAGTTTCTAACATTGTTCGCTCTACCTACTATTTAAAAGAGATTTTCAAGCCATGAATTGGTCCTTTTATGTACTTTACAGTGGTGGTTATTAGCTTTTAGATTAGATAACCAGAGAGATAGGGTAATGATATTCATAGTAATCGAAAACAGTTCTAAATCAGAAAATAGGATTGGCTGTCATGTTTCTGATAAAGCATGTTTGCATTGCCGCAATCTATCTTTGCCTACTAAAATTGTTCGCTCGGGTAGGTGCTTGTGGTTCAGGAGTTAAGTGGCAGATTCAGCAATACAGATGTGTGGAAGATGCCAACTGGGGTTGTCAATGAAGTGAGTAAAAACACCAGCACAACTATAGCAAATTCATAATAATATTCAAATACGTTATCATCATGGATTAAAATTTTTATCCATCGACAGGGTGAGGATATCTGCAAAGCTGCTGTTAGAGAGGTTAAAGAAGAGACAGGAATTGATACAGAGTTCGTGGAGGTTTTAGCATTTAGGTAAGAAACTTGCCTTCGGATTAAATAAGTGTTGTATATACTTCTACAGAAGCCCCGCTTTGTATTCTCTCCATCTCTCTACAGGCAAAGCCACAAGTCATTCTTTCAAAAGTCAGATTTGTTCATTGTTTGCATGTTGACCCCAACATCGTTCGACATCCAATTGCAGAACTTGGAGGTTAAGGCAGCCCAGGTAATTTCCCCGGACAGAAAAAATCCCCCATAGAGTATAATCGTTAATCTTGTTTAAACTATTTAGTGGTAGAGGATGTGACCAAGTCTTCCAAGTGTTACAAGGTATCATTAACGTGATTCAAAACTATTCTAATGTGTTATTCTGGGATTTTTTTTCAGTGGATGCCATATGCGGACTACGCAGCTCAACCCTTTGTTAAGGAAAACAAACTCTTTGACAATATAGCAAAAATATGCTTGGCAAAATCGGACAGGGACTATGTCGGTTTTACTGCGCTGGCTACAACTACATCCTCTGGAAAAAGTTGCCACCTGTACTATAACAGCCGGGATATGGGAAACCTACTGGCTACCGGTGATCCTCAGTAGAAACGTTGACCTCTAGTCTGATAATATGCCAAAATAGAGTTAATTTCTTGATATATTCATCTCCCAATCGGAGGATTTATATAGGAATACAAGCAATGATGATCAGGTATGAAACCAGTACAAGAAGTTATAAAAAACTGCTATGAAACTACTGCCTATATCTAAATTTACTGCTTACAACTACTCTATTAAGTACAATGGATTTCTGCTTACAACTACTCTATTAAGTACAATGGATTTCATGTCTGATTTCCTAATTCTTTAGTCAACAATGGTTGCTTCAGTTAACACGCCCCCTCAAGTTGGTGTATAAATATCTCGAATGCCCAACTTGTTGAGTGAAAGCTGGAAAATCCTACTTGACACTGCCTTCGTTATAATATCTGCTAGCTGGTCATCACTCTTCACAGAAGGCAAGTTAATGGTACCATCAACCAACCTTTCCTTAATACAGTGCCTACCCACTTCAACATGTTTAGTACGATCATGTTGAACTAGATTATGAGCAATGCTAATGGCAGCTTTGTTATCACAATAAAGATTTGATGGCTTTGTAGAATTGAAACCCAATTCTCAACAAAATCTTGAGCCATAACAATTATTGCACGCCGTGTGTCATACCTCTAAATTCAGCTTCAACACTAGATCTAGCCACTACATGTTGCTTCTTACTGCGCCAAGTAACTAGATTTCCTCCAACAAATGTAAAGTATCTAGAAGTTGATCTACGATCAGTTACTGACCCAGCCTAATCTGCATCAGTGTATCCTTCAACTTCTTGATGTCCATGATTGGAAAACATCAAGCCTTTTCCAGGAGTAGACTTCAAATACCTGAGAATGCGTTTTACAACATCCATGTGGGCTTCACTTGGCCTATGCATAAATTGATTCACCACACTTACAGCATAGGCTAAGTCAAGTCGTGTATGAGACAAATAAACCAACCTCCCAACTAATCTTTGGTATCTTTCCTTGTTAGCCGGAACTTGATCAAGATGGTCTCCCAATCTATGGTTTTGCTCAACTGATGTGTATGCAGGTTTACAAGCCAACATCCCAGTCTTAGTTAATAAGTCTATAACATATTTGTTTTGAGAAAGAAAAATGCCATGCTTTGATCTTGCAACTTCAATACCCAAGAAATATTTCAGAATACCCAAGTCCTTCATTTCAATTTCCTTGGCTAGGTACTTTTTGAAGTTTTTGAATTTCCTCGACATCATTACTTGTAATCACCATATCATCCACATAAACAATTAAGGCTGTAAGTTTACGTCTATCATGCTAAAGAAATAAGGTATGGTCAACCTGAGTTTGCTTGAACCCATAATTTCTCATCGATTGAGCGAACCTGCCAAACCATGCTCTTGGTGATTGCTTCAATCCATACAGGGACTTTCTCAACCTGCATACTTTGCCATATCGCAAGTGCTAGTGAATCCAAGAGGAAGATCCATGTATACCTCTTCATCCAAGTCTCCATGATGGGTAAAGATGACCTTGATCAAATATTTAAATATAAGAGGCAATTTGATTAATTGATTTCACAAAATATTTAAATATAAAAGGCAATTTGATTAATTGATTTCTTTTCCACAACCAAAAATGATATTTCATCCAAATCCATTTCAAATTTAATATGGGAACGGCACATCTAGACCTGTAAATGGATCGGGTTTATTGGGTTTGAGTCGGGTTCAATCCGACCCATTAAGTTAAAGGGTCACACGAACCTGACCCGTCTAACGGGTCACCCGTTTCACCCATTAACAATTATTATTATTTTTTTGCATAAAGTTTATTTTTTGTTGTTCAAACTTTACTAAAATTACTAAAACATCCTCAACTAACAAGTCTAACGGATTGACCCAAAATGAGTCGTTATTTAACGGGTTCACCCGTTAGCGACCCGACCCGTTAAGCATCCATCCAAACACTAATATTAACGGGTCGGGTTAACAAGTTGAGTCCAAAATGCCAAATCTAGGCACATCCCATGCCTTTGATATCAAGGTCAAATCACATTTTTGGTCCTCTAATTGGAACCTATTTTTCAATTTGGTCCCTATCCTTTTAATTTTGGAAAAGTAACATTTGTTATTCTAGAAATTAAGTCCTACAAATCTATAATTGTTAATTTGTTATTGTTATGCTAGACCTTCTGTCAAAATAAGTCGTGTACCACGCATTTGAGGCTAAATCAAGGAGCAAATATGAAAAATCAAATTAGAAAATTATATAGCAATGGTTCCTTAACTTTAACCCAATTGGAGAAATGGTTCTTCAACTTTAACACAATTGGAGAAATTGCCTCTTAATGTTAACCCACTTAGAGCAATGATCCCTCGACTTTAACCCAATTGTATGGATGATCCTTCCAACATGACTTATTTTGACAGAATTCTAACAGAGTTGATGAAAAAGACCATAGATGCACGTTTTGATGAGTTAAGAGATTAATGATCATGAATTTGTAATTGAAATACCATATTGCTCAAATTGGATTAAAATTGAAGGATAATTGCTACAATTTTATCTTACATAAAATATCAAAAAGGCACATCCCATGCCTTTAATCTCAAGGTCAAACCACATTTTTGGTAATTCATTACCAGGGCAAAATAATAATAATAAGAATAATAATAATAATCACATTTTTGGTCCTCGAATTGGAACCCATTTTTCAATTTGGCCCCTAATCATTTTAATTTTGGAAATTTCTCGTTATGTTAGAAATTAAGTCCTTCAAGTCTATAATTGTTAAGAATTAAGAGAAACGGACAAAATGATTAAGTATTGGGTTGATTGCAAATGATTTGGAGCTTTGGAGAGTAAAAAATGCCTTCACACATGTTGTAATTGTATATTATTTCCCCATCGAATCTAATGTACTAATTCGAGATAATTAACATTTGGACTCGATTGCAAACTATACTACAGAGCTAAAATGGTGAATATAAAAGTGATACGAACCAAATTGGAAAATGAATCAAACTACAAGGGTAAGAAATGCAACTTAACCTAATTAGGAGCAAACAAAAAATGGCCTTATCAAAGCACAAATTGGCATGGTGATTGGTGAGTTATACACGTGTGTGTGTGCGAGTGTGTTCCAACAGATTTCCAAGCAATTGAGAAACCCAGCAAAACTCAGTTTTAGTCCTACACTCCTCTCTTCCATTATTCTTCCACTCCAGCCATGTCTCTGGTTCAAGGCAAATGGATCAAGGTATGTTCCCTTCACCACTTTCTTTCATCTGTTTTATTTTAGATCATCAGCTTCATTTCAAGGATTTTGATAAACCCTAATTAAATCAGGGATAGTCAATTGAGATTTTGAAATATTTTAGTTCTTTTTACAAAACTAGGGGGTATATATTCAGTAGGATATTAAGTAATCATCTGAAAGTCTAGGTGTATTCAATCAAGATTTTAAAAGAGTTTATAACGTTGTAGGTGTATTTAATTAGAAATTGATTTTAAAGAATTTTAAAAAGTTGGGCAATTCGAGAAAATTAAAAAGATTTCGTTGCGTATTTTAAGTATTCATAAATTTCATCTCTCTTCCTGAAAAATTTGAGACAATCCACTCAAAATTTTATATGAAATTTCTAAAAATCAGTTAAACTCCAGCAAAATCCTTTATAATTTTCTCAAAATTTTAACTAAAATCTTCCTATTTAATTTTAGGGTTAAAGATTGGATCTTTTTACATGATTAGCTTATCTTGGTTATCTCCATCCTTCATAAAATCAATGAAAATACTTGAAAATCTTCATGATTTGATGTAGAGGTCACAACTATAATATGTTTTAATAGATTGGATCAGACTTTAGATATACTCTTTAAGGTGATGTTGAACAGAATCAAGCTTCTGACTTATCTTAGTTCTAACTCATTACTCTATATTCACTGTTTGAGGGATTTTGAGATAAGACTTTTTACATGTTTACATCAAATGAATATCTCACTCATTACGTCAATGTATACACCAAATAATAACACATAATCTCATATATGTCGTCAAATTATAATTATAATATGTAGTGTGATCCCAATTGATATATAGTTTGTGGCAACATGTGACTTTGATGCTAGCATGACTTCCATTTCCCCACCAATTTTAACATATTATTTGCTTGTTTCCATGTACTTGGTTAGATGCATCAAAACCCCGAAAGTTTCTTCTGCATTTGTCCAATTAGTAATACAGTATCCTTGCGTCAGCTTGATCAAAAGGGGACTGGTCCTGGAGCTAGAAGCTCACATGCCATTACCCTAGTAGGACAGAAGGCCTATGTTTTCGAAGGCGAATTCACGCCACGTGTCCCGGTAGACAACAAGCTCCATGTGTTCGACGTCAAGGAGCAGACGTGGTATGTGATTGAAGGAACCAGGGATGTCCCACCGCCATGTGTTGGTGTGACACTAGTAGCTGTTGGAGAAATTATTTATGTATTTGGAGGTAGGGATTATGAACATAATGAGCTCTATTCCTTTGACACATCCACACACAAGTGGACTCTAATTTCAAGTGGGGACACCGGGCCCCCTCACCGGAGTTACCACTCAGTCACCTCCGATGACCACCACGTATACATCTTCGGCGGATGTGGTGTTGCCGGCCGCTCAATGATCTATGGGCCTACAATGTCGTTGATCAAAAGTGGATCCAATACCCAAATCCGGGTGACAACTTGATGGGGAGGGGTGGGGCGGGCCTGCTAGAGGTCCAAGGAAAAATATGGGTTGTGTATGGCTTCGCTGGAGAGGAAGTGGATGATGTACACATCCTTGATCCAGCCCATGGTGAGTGGGCCCAAGTTGAGACAAATGGCAAGAAACCAACAGCTCGAAGTGTATTTTCTACCGTAGCAATCAGTAAATACATAATCATATACGGCGGGGAAGTGGACCCTAGTGACTTGGGCCACTTGGGTGTTGGAAAATTTACAGCCGAGGTTTATGCATTGGACACAGAAACATTGTTGTGGAAGAAGTGGGATGATGGTCTAGGCTTAGGCCATCATCCTGGCCCTCGCGGATGGTGTGAGTTTGCCCGCGGGCAATGGAAAGGGAAAGAGGGCCATTTGGTGTATGATGGGAATTCACCAACTAATGATCGACTTGGTGATATTCATTTCTTCACTCCTTAAGTGATTGGATTAGAGATGTGATGTATGAAAGTGATGGTGATAGTGTCATGTGCTGGAAATATGGAATTATGGGATGTATTTATGTAAGTTTGTAATAAGATCTAGACACGACATTGTGTTTGTGGGAATGAGGTTGTATTTTGGTTTTTAATTTTCTATTTGGTAGATGTGATTTTTTTTTTTCTTTGATGTAATATAGATCTATACAGAATATCGTATGAATGAGTAAATAATTACTTAAGTTACAAGTCTCTTATCCGGTTGAATTTGATTAAGTTTGATATTTGGGAGAAATAGATTACGCCAAATGTGGTGTTGTAAACTACCATGTGGTATCTTAGTTCAGTAATATTATGTTACGTAAAGAAAATTTACACCTAAAATGTCATCAGCGGAGCAAAACATCACGATGACGTGAGCTCGTTCAATATATGCAAGGAAAATAAAATACAATAGCTATTTCAATAAAAAGATAAAATTACGTTGGCCAAATTCAAATCGAGGCAAAAAAAGAGGCCAGAGATGCAATTTTATCAAACACGAGGGCTTTTCAGAAAATTCAACTGCCGGAGAAGGCGACAAGTGTAACGACTTCCAGCAAACGGAGATCCAGTTTTCTACTCAGACCCGCCATCGATACAAAGCTTGCTTCCGGTCTCCTCCGTTATGGAGAGGCACATCGAGATATTCCTGAAGAGGCTCTCCTACGTCGCCATCCTCATCGGCACCGTCACCTTCGTCTTTCTCCTCCTCAAAAACCCCGACACCTGCGTCGCACCAGGTTCTCCCCCCAAGCCCCACCTCCGCTTCCCCAAATCCTCCTGCGACGCCTCGCCGCGCCTGATCCTCCCTCTCCACAAGAAGAACAACCGCCTCTGGTCCTCCAAGACCTGGCAGAACAAGGTCCGCTCCTTCTCCAACTTCTTTCGCGCATTTTATCAAATGGGTCTCCTGCACAACGAGTCCAAGGTCCTCTGCGCCTCTGCCGGCGCCGGCCACGAGGTCATGGCGCTGACCGAGTTGGGCGTCGCCGACGTCACCGGTATTGAGCTCCTCGAATCGCCTCCGCTGGTGAGCCGGGCCGATCCCCACAACTTGCCTTATTTCGATAATGTGTTTGATTTGGGTTTCAGTGCTCATTTTGCCGAGGCATTGTTTCCGAACCGGTTCGCGGCGGAGATGGAGAGGACGGTGAGGGCCGGTGGGGTGTGTGTGGTGGTTGTGGATGAATGTGGGGATGAGGAGATTAGGGAGATTGTGGATTTGTTTTCGAATTCGAGGTTTCTTGGTGCTCTTAATGTTACATTGACTGGATTGAGAATGACAAGGATTATTATGAAAGTTAAGCGCTTACCTTGATTTCCTTTTGGTAATTCTCTATTAGGTGTTTATTGCATTTGTTTTCGATTTCGAATTCCTGTTGGTGTGTGAATTAGTAATTCTCTTTAGGATCTGGTGTTAGTGAGCTACTTATGATTTGAATTTGTGATTTGAAAACGAATTAAGCAACTGCGGAAGAACTCGAATGGATGTAGATTAAGTTTGGAACTGTTGTGGAAAAGTATGCTAATGAGAGTGAATGGCTTCAATGTGATGTATGCTTTGCTTTCCTCTCAAGTCCCATCATTTCGGGCAGGTTTCTCTGTTTTATCTGATCAAAACCCTCATTTTTTACCGAGCACGATCAGCGATGCGGCAATTTCTTTGTCTAGTTGAAATAAAAAACACCGGCTTTCTTTTTTATGTAAGATCTTGATGATATGTGCAATTAGGGGCATTCTACTTGTTAGAAACTAGCTTGGACTTATAGGCATGCTGAATGTGAATTGACCCATGAACATTGATGATAACATCTTCTTTGGTGGGTTTGGTGATGATTAATGCCGAAGGTTATCATTCATATCGACACCTGGTTTCTTAAGTCGACCTAGTTACAGGTTCTTAAAAATTCTATCGGTCTTCAAGCATTGGATTTGACAACTTGGACAGAGGTTAGCAATTTGTTACAAAGTAGAAATGGTTCGCCTCATTTTTAGCGTTATATTTTCTGGTTAATATGCCTGTTGGAATACTCAGATTGTGTGGAGTAACTGATTGATCGACGGATAATCTATATTCCCCCCACCTCCCCCCTTTTTCTTACTTTCCTGAGTTGTCATTGTGTCTTTCGTTATTTTTTATGAACGATGTGCAGATGTGCAAGATTTGTGTTTTAAACGGATTCTGGTTTGTGTTCTGTGCCTTTGATTCATAGCATTCATCTAACAAATAAGCATGCACCAAACCAACAGTTACAGGAGGCTGAAAACTAACTATTTATTGAGTCAGTGATTTAACTATGCACTGAATCAAATGAGGATTTACACTTCTTATCACATACTGCTTCACAAACCAAAGACAAAAGTACAGCAGTTCATCCTTCATCGTAATTCAGGGTTCAAGTTACTCTAGAACTAGAAGTATTTGTAAGGTTTGGATTTTGCATGATTTCATATATGAATTGGCTGAGGAGGATGAGACGGAGTTATACTGTTACAGGCACCCGTTGATTAGAAGCCACGTTATCTCACTGGAGTAGGCAGATGATCCAGCTCAAAAGCTCGGGAGATCCCATGGACAGTAAACCTATTTGAAGAAAAGATATCAGGTGCCACGATTTTCACTCCATTAACGACCAATTCTTTCATGAAATCCAGAGTCCCAGTGAACTCAAGAGGCTGATCATGAAGCAGGGTCCTGAGCAGTGTTCTGGCAGGCATCGATTCGAGCCCTCTGGTTGTATACCTCTGAGGCAGAATATGAAACCTCACAATCTTCTCGAGCAAAGGGGAAGGATACGCTTCAAGCTCCAAGCTTGGCGGAAGAAAGATTGTCACAGACTTCAAACCCTTATGATCTCCAAGAATCCCATCAAGAACAGAGTTCAGCCCGACAGCGAAAGAAACGAACCCATTCGAGCTCAGCAATCGGATGATCCGGGACCATTCAACCATGTTCTTGGCATCAGGAACATCAGAAACCATATTGGAATTGGCATCACAGGCAGGCGATTGGATAATATCCCAACCCTGATTAACATCTCTCGGATCCAAAGCGGAGAACGGGCCAAGAACACCGTGAATCGAAATTGGTCCGTCAAGAAACAGATTCGGGTGCGACACCAACACGTGATTGATTTCCACCGATCTTTCCTTCTCATCGATTTTGGTGACTGCGATCTTCTTGTTCTGATACAGGGTCGGCAAGCAAGTACCCTGAGTCATGTTCACAAGGTGTTCGAAGGAAAGCCTGAGAGGAGAAGTGTGGTACCGCAGGAGGTTTTTGAGAAGGCGTGGCGGGAGGGAGGAGTTGGAGATGGCGGAGTCTTTGATGGCAAAGAGGGTGGTGGTTGCGGAGGAGAAGAAGAGTTCCGGCGAGAGCTGGAGAAGGGTGGCGATGACGGTGAAGCCAGCTCGTCTCAGAGTTCTTGAGGCGCCGAGGTAGACGAAGCGGCTGATGGGTCTGGATTGGGAGGACTCGTTGTTGGGTTGTGACCGCAGAGTCATGGAGATTGCGATGAAGGCCAAGATTACAGCCATGGAGAAGTAGACTGCTGCGTGCCAGCGAGTGCAGGGAGGCGCCATTGCTGTTCGATTCGAGCTTGGTTATTGAGAGAGAGAGAGAGAGAGAGAGAGAGAGAGAGAGAATGCTTCGGGATTTGTGAGTGTTGCAGTGGAGGGAAAAACAGAGAACAGTTATAGTTGAATGCAACTGACTAACTGTTTTATGGCAAAGAGACCAAGCTAATGGGCCTATGAGGGAGGCCCAACTCATATGAATTTGAGATGGGCTTTAATTCAAGTGCTTAGAAGGTTTTAGTTGAAGTTCAATTCTACTGTCCGAATGGTGATTGACGTGGAGAAGTCATCGGCTGATTTTTTTTTTCAAAATAATTCTACTGTCTAGACGATCAGAGTATGTGGATTTCCAGCTGGAGACACAATTGGCAACAATTAGAGTATGTGGTTGTCTGGCTGTAGACACGATTGTGGGGGTGTTTTGTGCCTACAATCTGACGGCCACCTTACCTAGACCTAGCATTTTTCACCCGACCCGTTAAAATTAGTATTCGGGTGGGTGGTTAACGGGTTGGGTGGTTAATGGGTTAACCCGTTAATCATCCGTTAAATAACGGGTCGGTTTGGGTGAACTCGCGAAACCCGTTAACCATTCGTTAAGACCCGTTAGTTCTGGTGTTTCGTTAAGCCCTCTTTGTGCGCTCGGTCAAAATGCCTGGAAATGGTCACTTTTTCGTGGAGTGGAAAGAGCACTTTGTTTCGCAAGAGATGGGCAACCGTGTGGTTCACTATTTCTTGAAGCATTCTTCTGGAGAATCCATTCTTGCAGTTGTGGGTACTGAAAGGAGTGTTAGGCACATGTTCTATGTTGTTTCTGAGGAGTTTTTGCAAGTGCACGGAATCGAGAGCTCCAATAGTGCCAACTTTAAAAGGAGGTCAAGAAGGGAAGTTGTGGATTGGCTTACATTTATGCTGTCAAAGCAACTTATTCGTGGGAAAAAAAAAGGTTAACGGGTGAAACGGGTTGGGTTCGGGTGACCCGTTAAGCTTAACGGGTTGGGTTCGGATGACCCGTTAGCTTAACGGGTCAGATTGAACCCGACCCAAACCCAATAAACCCGACCCGTTTACAGGTCTAACCTTACCCACTCGTCCAAACCATAGAACGAGAAATTAGTATTTTGATGAAATTGTAATTTCATATGGCTCACTACTTTATAGAAAATTAAATGAGAGAGAATGTCTTGAATCCTACTTGGATATGGGTCTTTCTCTGAGCTAACACATGGTGAATGAAGAAAGTTGGGGTTTCACTATAAAATTAATTGATAATATGGGAAGTAGAGTAGCATAATCTCTTATAAGCACATGCAAGGTCTCTCATTTCCTCAATGTGGGATTGATAACTCTCAACAAGCCCTTCACATAGGGCGAATTTTTAAACCTAGCAGGTGGATAACACAAATTGAGTGATGTGGAGCACGTATGACTATTGGACTTCACACATGGGTCAACTTGCTTTGATAATATGAAGAAAATTGGAGTTTCTACCATAAAATCAATTAGCAATATAGATAGTAGCTCAATCTTTATAAGCACATGCGAAGCCCCTAATTTCCCAAAAATTGTTAACTCCCAACAATTTCTTCACTAAATTAGTTGGACTTGACTAGAAGTTTGTATCTGTTTGATAGTGGTCCAATCACAATTGCTTGAGTAGTTTTTGTTCAATGAGGATCATCTCCGGATCCTCTTTGTGAGGATCTCGGAAATCCTTCAATCACATCTGTTCATTGTATATTGTGTAGTAAAAAAATCATTGTAAATCTTTTTATTTAAAATTAAATATAAACAGTATCTGACGAAAACTAACCGTACGATGTACGATGAACGGATGTGATCGGAGGATTCTCACAAAGAGGATCCTCATTCGTTTTTGTTATCCCTTTTTGTTAAAGTTCAGTCAACCCCGAGAGATATGTGAACTCTCTCGTATTGAATGAAGGCTGGGAAACGCCCACCTTCCCCTATTCAATATTTTGGTGACCTGCTCAAAGGTCAAAGTATTTGTAAGTATAATGTACAATTTATACGAAATTTTTGCTTACAATCAAAGTATCTCGCTCTTTTTATTGTAATTCGACGAGTGATTCAGAAAAAGAAAATATGCAAAACAGAAAGAGAAATATACACGTTTAGGAAATAGCCAAAATTGTTTATCACTTTCGTCATCTAAATTCACATCAATGCTCCTAAATCCTCATTTTAAAAGAGGAGATGTATCAATCGGGGTTGAGGTATGCATGAAGGCAATTACAAATATCAAATTAGTAAATTCATGCTCTATATACGAGCAATATTCTACTTTAAACCAATATAAGCAAAAAGAGATTCCTATTTACATACATACTGATCAAACTAATATAACTTGGTTAAGAAACTAATAAAGTAAAAAACATTAAGAAAAAGTAGGAGGAGAATAGGAATATGTAGTTCCAACAACCCAAATATTGGCAAAGGCGGTTGCAGCATAGCACAGGCACGAGGTCAAATTTTCTGCACCCAAAATAGATTTGGTATTTCTGTGACCACAGTCGTTATTTGACACATATTAAATTTATGACAATAAAATTAAAAAAAGTTAAGTTTATAAATACGTGTCAATCACTGACCCCACGACTCTAACTTTATATACAAAATCATGTGCTTTGCCATAAAAATCCCACTTTCTTGAAGGACTCAAGTTCTTCATGTCCGTGATGCAATCAAACACTTTAATTTGGAACCCCATGAGCCATGACACAATCATGTTTTTTTTACTTTTTTTTCTTTTGCAGACCACAAGTGATTTCAAAATTAAAATTATATCATCATATTATCGGGTAAAGATTTCAGAGCAGATTTATGAGAATTTCTTTCGTTGCTTAGAGCGAAAGAAAACAGCTTCACCTTTCATCTAAGAACGGTTTGCACAAAAATATTCACTCATAACATGGCGTCTCCGGTTAATGATACATAACCACGATCTATTAGTAGTCGAACATGCTATGGCGGTGAAAATCTTTATCTTTCTAGAAAGATTTCTAAAAATATTTTGTAGACTTAGTCACGTGACAAGAGAAATGTTGAGAAAAAATTTGATGGCACTGAAGAATCCCTCATTCAACATATACATAAAAAAACTTAAGAGTATTCAAATGCAGAAACTAAAACATATCGATATTTTCATCGAAATCCCATATTTAAGAATAATATTCACATTCATAATTAATAAACCTATAAATTTTCTGATTCTCAGTAACTTCTGTAATGCTACAAACAACAAATTTTTACGAACTGTAGGGACATATAAAACTTGAGACAAACGGAAAATAAAGGATCCCGACTCAAAGGAAATATTACTAGTGTGTGCAATAGGGAGAGCATCACCATTACCAATAATCACCTGACCATGTTGACCATTCCCAGTAGCATATGTCATAGAACGAGCATCACTGGCCATATGATGGGTTGCACGGGTATCCGGATACCAATAAGGATCAATAAAGGAGGCAACATGCATTCCCACAAAGGCCCGAGATAAGTCATCATCTCCACAAGCAGTTTGAGGGCATTGTATAGCAATATGACCATATTGTTGGCAAGCCCAGCACTGAAGGCCACGAGAATGGGAGAAGGACCGAGAAGTCCAAGAGCAGGGGAGTTACCACGTTGAGCCCCACCAATGGCAGGTTCTTATGCTTGACAACCATTGCCACCAGGTCTGCGAAACCCACGAGAACCACCATTACCACTAGGGTTTCGATGAGGTTGCCCACCACCATGATTACGGCCCCCTGAGGGACCATTCCAACCATTACGAGCATAATAGAACGCCTAAGGAGCAGATGCAGGCGTTGCAAACACAGTCTATTGTGACTCAAAGAAAAGCAATCGAGAACGCAGATCATTGAATTGCGGGAAGGGAGGAAAATTAGTCAACATCACCACCATCACACTGTACTCCGGTCCTAAACCGCGAAGCACATAAGACACCAAATCTTCATTGGCAACAGGTTGTCCAATGGACGCCAACTGATCAACAATGTTCTTCGCCTTGCCAAGATAATCTGCGATGGACTTTGTCCCCTTTTGAAGTGAAAACAATTAAAATCGATGGTGAGTGGCATTAGCAAGGGACTGTTGTGAAAAATTCTGACGAAGATGCTCCCAAATTTCACGAGAAGTAGAAAGCCCAATGGTCAAAGAAAGAATCGCCTCAGTGAGGGTGGCTCGAAGCATACTAACAAGAGTTTGGTCAGTTTGATACCAGGCAAGATATTCGGGGTTTGGAGAAGTAGTGATCACTGGTGGAAGAATTGTAGAAGTATTAAAATCTGTAGAGGCAGTAAAAGAGGCAATTGGAGCAGTGGTAGTGATGACCAGAGAAGGGCATGGATACAATCCATCAACAAAACGCTAGAAATTCTGGCCAATTAAAAATGGCTTCACCTGACTCTCCCATGGGAGAAAATTTTCTAAATACCTGGCACATACGCTGACATGGAGTTCCACCAATAATCACTTAACACCTTTATATTTTAAGTCTTTTAAATCTTAAAAAAAATGACAGCTGTTTCAAAATTACCTCAAAAAAAAAAAAAAAAAAAAAAAAAAATCAGAAACTCACTGCTACCCTCAATCTTACGACACTGATCAACTACCCAATGCACCCACCTTCATCACCGGCCGATGATTTTACTAGCTTCATCCATCCTTTCTCTCTTTTTGAATTTCTCCTTTTTATTTCCACTTTTTCTCTCCCACTCTTACTTCTACATGGAACCTAGGAATTGTCAGCAGCGACTCCAACTCAGATCTGGCGTCGCCAATCCCGATCTATCAATTGCTGATGGCGGACGGAAGAATCTCATCCTCTTCTTTCGTTTTTAATTATTTTCTGAGAATAAATATAAGGATAAAATAGGTATTTTAATAAAATCATTAACCCTAACAGTCGCTTAAAAAATAGTGACACATGTGTCAAATATTTATTAATGAGGAACTTCATGCGAGCATATTTGCCGAGTACTTAGAAAAATTTATCCCCCCATGGAAGATAATTGGTTTTAGATGGTTTGATAGAAAACAAGGTAGA